AACATTCGTGTTCCAAATAGCAGCTGCTTCCTTGGCCTGTCCGAAACATATTCAACCTGTCTGAACTCGGTCGGTCTCTGTCTCTGCTCTGCCGGTCTCTGTCTCTGCTCTGTCGGTCTCTGTCTCTGCTCTGCTCGTCTCTGTCTCTGCTCTATGGCGCAGGCTCTCTGCCTCGCTGCGGCCCGGTCCGCTGGGTGGTCGCTGCCCCGCCGCCGCCGTCCGCTCTCCGGTGTCTGTTTCCGGCAGTGGTGATGGTATCAGTAGCACATTTGTGATTGATGCACTAGATGCAGGGTACCGCCGCCGCGCCGGTGTCCCTGCCGGCAAATTCCATCGGCACACGGTCTTTGTTAAAACGCAGCCATAATTGACGGCCTGCATTAGGAATTCTCGGCGACACAGTATGGAATTTTGCAGCGTTTTAATTGTCTTTGTGGTGGCGGTTGCTTGCCGTTAGCGACAGACAGACATGTGAATGTCGGACAGACACCGGTTGTGACACTCGGTAAAACAGCCGTGTTGTGAAAATGCTGACAAGTCATCACTGACCACACCATCGCCTCACTCGGCTAGGACGCAGCGGCTGGTGCGACTGTCGCCTAACCGTTATAACGTTCCAGGAAGGGTGTCCAATGTGTCCCGTAGTTTCGCATGGGTCGGTAGCATGCCAGGCGGCCGACACGGACCGGAATGGTACCGGCTCGCCATGTCAGTGGTCAGTGTGGGCTGCACATTGGAGGCAGTCTCCTCAGAACGACACGTGTTTCGCCGCCTGGCTACCACGTGTCACTGACATTTTCTATTATCGGAGACGTTCGGTTAGAGGTGGCAAATACCGCTTTTGTATATCACAAATTTGGATAAGACCGCGCTTGTTTGGTTAGCGGCTTGGCGATGGCGCTCATTGAACATCGCTAGGCATCACTATAGGTCTCGCGGATAGGGCAAGTGCACGAGCTTCGGAATAAGTTACTTACAATGACATGCAATGGGTATTTTACACGCTGCATGCTGTTTCGGCTCCCGTGAATCGCGTGTACCTACTGTTGGTAGTCCGCAGTAGACAGTGTTTTGCTGGGAAGGATGACGTAGAAGTTCTGAGCTTGAAGATGTCGGCTAATATAAATTTGATTATAATTTTAGTCGATTTTGAGTCAATTTACTTCACTAAGGCATTATAATCCACTCATTTAATGAATTCCTCGAGTTTGCATAATGCTGGTCCCAAAACAAGAGCTTCGCAGCCATTACTCACACACCCCACACAGAGCCTTTGATAAAGAAGTTCTTTCTGCTACCCAAATTGATCCCAGGAGAAATGAGCGCACAATCACAGGGGATAATAAATGGTGCCGCTGTGAAAAAGCGGTGATGTATAAGGTGGTGACAGTTTGCTCTAAAAGGGATATTTCGGGTCTCTTCAAGACAACATAAGAGTCTTGGGAAAAGCGACAGCAAAGCAAAAATGTCCAATTTCCAATGTCGCCGAGAGAAGGAAATGATTCGCAAGAGTAGACCGACGACACGCAAGGTTATATAAAGACATTGTTGACTGGGAAATGAGAGTAAAAATTGGACCTAGACAGAAAAAAGCAGTGTCAATGTAAAGGAAAGATCAATTATAATCTACCGTGACATATTTCCGATGAGTTTGAGGTGACTGTTGCTCTCGAAAAAGTAAAACAAGACACCTTTTTCCTAAAACGGTGAAGAGCAAGAACTTAGCATTCCAGAGAGCTGGTTGGTCATTTATCATCTACCTACTGGAACGACGAGAGCTTAACCCTCGCCGGCCGAGGGGGGGGGGGGCGGGTGCCGCCCCCCATAGGTTTTTTTTCGCGATAGCTCCGAACACGCTGGTGATAGAGAGCTGAAACTTGGCATACCTGACCTTTGATCCAAGTCGGATCTTTTGACACCAACTGCATTTTTGGGTCAGTTCAGGTCACTGACCTATGACGTCATAAGTGAACCTCTGCACGGTCTTCAGATGTCGCAACTTCGCAACGCCCTCACTGCCGGAGGAGATGTCACAGGGAAATGAAACTTGCAGGATCTAGTATCCATTATGAGTTCCACAACTTGTATATCTCGGATTTTTCCTAAAGGTCATATGAGGTCAGGTCATTTTCGTGACCTCACCATTATAAGTCAATGGGGAAAAATTCAAACTGCTATTCTGGCGCCGGGAACGATCTCCAACTATCTCAAGCACACAGAATCGTGATTTGATGCACTCCTTGCAAGGTTAGATGCGTCACTTTTGCAATGTTGACCTTGAGTGACGTCATTTATGACGTCATCAAGGTCATATTAGTTTTTCGTCAATAACTCTTGATCAAATTGAGCTAGCGAGTCGGGAAAGCCACCAATGGACTCAGGAAGGCCTGCCGAATCGAATGATATGCGACATGACCTCTTTTGACCAACTTCGTGACCTGGGGGTGTTGACCTGACCTTGACCTGAGGTCAACACCCCAAGTTGACCTGACCCGGACAAAAAGTATATCATTCGACGCGCCTGGGCAAGGCGAACACGATGCTGCCAAAATCGGCGCTCTGCGGCCGTTTTTTTGCGAAGTTATTCACCAAAAACTGAACCGTACCTTGGGGCACTTGACCTGACCTCAGAGGTCACCGGTTGACCTAGGACCTTAAAATCGGGTACCAATCTCTGCGTCTGGTAACGGCGCACACGCTCGTTTTTTTCCGCGACGCGCTAGCTCCACCAGGGGCGAAACGGCGAGGGGGTTCGTACCCGCCCCCCCCCCCCCCCTCGGCCGGCGCGTATGTAGAAAACCAATAGGTCCGGCGAGGGTTTTAAGTCCACAGACTGTGTGTCGTTGCCTGCATTACAACGTGCTAGCTCACTACGATACCAAGTTTGTTTCAAGCTTCATTTAAACTCCTTGGAAATAATGACTAGCACGTGACCAAGTATTTCACCTATGGCGATTTTCGCAGCCATAGACATCGATGGCATTTCCCGTTCTCATCTCAGAGAGATAACTCACTGCAATATCCTATGACACACTCTCTCTATCATCGTTGAGCGTATGAGTCCATAACCCCCACGACACCTGTTTAAAATCTCACATCGCTGGCATCGCAGTCGTGTTCTGGTGCGCATCTGATACGAACGCCTCCCCAGAGGCCGGCCGCGGGATCGTGACACTCTCAAACCGCAGGCAATGTCGCCTGAAACCGGATATGGTGGCGGTGACACGACTAATTACTGTTTAATTCCGCAAAGCCGCCCCCAGCTTCCCATAAAAGCCGGCAGGCTGGTTGTGTTCAGCCGGGAGGACAACTTCATCTTCCCGCACTTGGAGATAGTTGCTGCAACTGTTTTTGCTCGCAGTCTTGATGCTTCAGTTGACCGTTGATGATGTGCTCTTTTTAGGCGCCTTTCTTTCCGATATGTAATAGCCGTTTTCACGACGGTCTATCCGGCGAATGCACCTGATTTGACCAAATCTGCACCTAATTTCTTTTACAGCAAATGTCTTCATTTTATGAATTTATTTCAGTGTACTAATCGATGATGCTCTCTGATAATATGACAAAGCGGGCATTTAAGCAATTAGTGCAACCCTAGCTGATAGCTACTAAGAGACACACTGAACCTGATTTGACCAAATCTGCACCTAATCTGTACCTACCAGATGTGCACCAAATGATACCAGTTGGCCGTCGTGAAAACGGCTAATATGAAGCTGTTTTAGTGCACCTCTCCAGCTCTCTGTGCTCCAGTGTTGTTTTGCTACATTTATTTATTAGGTATACTTTTCACAGCCTGTTTATCCAGATCTTCATCAGTAAGCCATGTGCTGATGCCGAACATGCATTGCTTTTGAATTGCATGCTGAGTAGTTTGTTTTAGTCCATATTTGTCGAAATGTCAAATGTCTATTTAAGTAAAATAATCACCGGGATTTCCATAAGCATTCCCCATTTTGATATGAATGGTTTCGCCTGGAGTGCAGTCTAACTCGATATAACGGGCTGCTTTGAAAGCTGATCGAAAGTGAATCAAATGCCATCATTAGAACCTAATGAGATTGTTCAGGAATTTCCGGTAGGTATTTGGGCATTTACCAGCCTCACAATGTGTCCGGTGAATCCAGCTCAATGTCGTGCTCATCCCTACTCGACACAAGCTTGTCCTCGTTGAACCTGACATGACTTCACCCTGCTTTGGCTGCCAAAGCCGAGGCTGAACTCATTCCATCATCCGATTTTCCATTATCAGAGTGAGAACCAGCCCATCCTCATCCTTGATCATGCATAATTCCCCGTTAGGGTCCGATGCTTTAACCACCCGGGAAACCGATGAGGGCTACCCCAATAGAGTTAATTTTCCGGGTTGTCCATTGGGCTGTTAACTGGTTCGTTCCACTGGGACGACCCGTTAGTCCAGAAACATACAGCAGTTAAGTTCAGTTGTACAACAGTTCTACGTTGAGCCTACATATTTGAACGCAAATATGCACTTTGACGTCTGTTTTCTGGAAGCTCTGAACTGCCAAGGACCAACCTGATTAGACTCACATCTGGCTGTGTTTCACCTGTACGTACATACGTGAGCGCATCATTCCCGTTATATTCAGAGAGCTTGAGGCGCTTACGCTCATCACGGTCTCGGAACGGGTTAATAAGACAATATTTCGCCATTCTTCCTCTCAGAATCGTGCTCAAGAGCTTCGACATCGACGCCTGCCGGGCCAAGGTTTCGAGTTTAGCTCTTTTGCATTCCATTCCAATGAAATGCCACGTCTGGATTCCGTGTGGATATTTCCCGCGTGTTGCCGATTCCGCGAACAGACGGCCTTGCCATCAATGTGCCGTTGCTGGGTGGTGCTTTGACTGTCTGACTGTCTGTATGTATGTCTGGTGGGCGAGCGAACTGGCCGTGGGACTGTCGGGGACATACGTATTTACATGTAGGATTAATAACAGCTTTTTGTGCACAGTCTGATTTGTTTCTGTCCACGTTTCAGATTTTCATGCACAAGTCTGCGATGCAGCTGCACGCGCGCGAGGTGCACCGCAGCGAGGTGAAGCCGCACCAGTGCCAGCAGTGTCTCAAGTCGTTCTCCTCCAACCACCAGCTGGTGCAGCACATCCGCGTCCACACCGGAGAGAAGCCCTACAAGTGCTCCTACTGCGACCGGCGCTTCAAGCAGCTCAGCCACGTGCAGCAGCACACCCGGCTGCACACAGGTCAGTCGCGAAACAAAGTAATCACAGAACAGCCCGATCAAAGTGAGGACATTGTCCCAGGAGCAAGACATCGTCCTCGATTAACCAGAATCCTCACGCTACCATCAAACGCATGCGGGCAAAAACTGGTATTTTTGGGCAATAGCAAGCCTGCGTTATGATTTAAGGGAGACATTGTTTCATCATTTTTTTAATTTATGATCGAAAGTGCAGTTATGGGTAAGTGTTTTACGATATTGTTACGTAAGCCCCGCTTTTTGCCGTTGACTTTTCTGTAACATCTGCCGGTGACTGCCTCAACCTCGCTCTCATGGCTACACGTACTTACTCACACATCTTACTCTCGAGCCTGGTGAGAAACGATGACACGAAAACTCAAGCAACATGTAAAACTCTCATTCAGTTCACCAATTGATGGTGACAGATACAGCCAACATAAATGAAGATTACGTGTTTGGCGCCGGTCCGAACGCGAACCGGGACTGGTCGCGATGATTAATGAATCCAGCGACAGTCGGACGTTGGACCGTTAGGGCCGAGATTACCTGAGCTCTCCTTGTACGGTGGCCATTACGGCCGGCGGGGCGCGATGCGACGGCCGATACTGAGCGCCGCTCGTCGCCCCGGCTGCACCGTTCGCTGACATCACAGGGCGACCATTGTGTGCCGGTCCGGCGGACACTGTCACATACCGTCTCCAAAACTGGACTGGCATTTTTTGGAGGGCACACAGCGCTGAGCACCCCGTTAGTCTGTGGTTCAGTGAAAATCCGCAGCCGTCTTTGCACATTGACATGTGTGCGTGAGGTGATTAGAGTCTGTCAATCTACTGCATGCAACAAAGTGGTTGACACGTGATATTCGGCAAGACAAAGAAGTCTGCTGTTGCAGATCTTACAGTCACGTGGTTTTAGTCACTAAGTGAGTCAGCTTCCGTGCTATCAATCGTGCGGTAGATGCTAAAAAGTCCTTTAGGTTCATATGCGACGTGTCTGCTACATCTCGCACTTGAAGAACAGGTGGCGACAGTCACGTTTGACTAGTCAGGCAGCAGGTGACTGTCACGCGTTTTCGGCCACTTCTGTTCATAAATGAACGGCATGGCTCATATTGCATTCAGCAAGTCGCCCAATGCATTCCAAGCCCCAAGAATGATGCAGCAAGCACGCTATCTACAGGGTGTCCCAGAAGTCTTGAAGCTTTTTTATTTTTGTCGTGTGACCTTGCTATGCCACTGATTAAGGCAAATGACGCCTCAAACGAAAGAGAATGAACTGAAGTTTTGTATTTTCATGCGTAGAGCACCACTTTAGTTAGGTGGCCCCCGTTGTGAGTCGCACAAGATTGAGCACGAGAGATCACGTTCTTCGCTGCCGCCAAGATCTCCCGGTTTGCGAAACACCGGTGTCGCCATGCCCGTTTCTGGTCAGCTTCAGAGCCTTATTTCATGAAGCGAGCCAGGAAACAGAGTATTGGATCTCGGAGAAAACATTAGCAACATAATGATTTACTGATCAGAAAGTCTCCTGACATGTTTGCACGCATCCATTACAAAAATAAGGCTCAGCTGCTTGAGCGCGCTAAGCAACAGCCCGTTGTAATCCTTTGATTCGTTGCATTATTATGGGGCTAAAACAAATATCAACCCGTCGCAAATATATGTCGCTAATATTATGTCGTTCGCTTCAGGGAATAAGACTCTGAGAAGCTGACAAGAAACGGGCATGGCGACACCGGTGTTTCGCAAACCGGGAGATCTTGGCGGCAGCGAAGAACGTGATCTCTCGTGCTCAATCTTGTGCGACTCACAACGGGGGCCACCTGACTATTGTGGTGCTCTACGCATGAAAATACAAAATTTCAGTTCATTCTCTTTCGTTTGAGGCATGATTCGCCTTAATCGGTGGCATAGCAAGGTCACACGACAAAAATGAAAAAGCTTCAAGACTTCTGGTACACCCTGTAGCAAGCACGTATGTATTGCCGAACACTTCTGGTCAACACACAGCCCATCCGTCAACCTCTCCAAGGCCTAACCCAGCTTCAGTCTTCCCAAAATCAGTCCAATCACCGGTTGATTTCCTGTTTGGTGTCCCATTCCCACAGTCGGTCGTCTCAGCTGTCCAGGACGGCAGCGGTAGCGCGGTGGCGATCCATTCTTTCAGATCGGCACCGGTCTCTTCCTCAGTAGCCAGCCGACGCTCCGGTAATCTCATGGGAAACGGTGATTTTTGTGGTCGAGCTGACGAGTCTGCAGTGCTGCGAAAAATGGCCGGTATCGCGGCCGCAGATCGGCTGCAGAGGAGACTCTGCAGAAGACAGACACTGCGGCCCGGTCACAGGGCGCAGGGTCACCGGCCGATTTCGACAGTCGCGCGGGGGTGGATACAGTCAGGGGCCGCCGGCGCGGCGGTCAGCCGAAGAGGGCCTTCAAAACTGTCGCTGACGAGTTACTGGGACTTCGTGTGTAAATCGTTGCATTGTGCATGCGTCAAGAACACTTTGCTGCTGACTGGGCAGTTACAGTTCGCGCATGCTATACCTTTTCATATTAGAAATGGGTGTACTGTCGACGCCTGACATTGTAGCCCGTGAGGCAATCTGATACCTATCATTCAAAATTGTAAACAATCACCCTGCAGGGACTGGGACATATTTAGAAAATAATTGTTTAAAACATATCCAGTATTCACCCATTTACTTCCAGACAATGTAGATACATGAAACGTAGCAAATCTGTCAATCTGTCCGCTAATCCGTCAATCCTTCCGCCGCGGACCAGTTCATTCGCCCGTCTATCCATCTGTCCGCTCGTTGTGCTTGCAGGTAGCGCCGATTCTCCCAAAAATCGATCGTTCGTTACGTTCCCACGCCGATGGGAGCCGATGTCAGTCATTGATAAGGTCGATTTTTCAGCATTGCTGCGGAACCACGATCGGTCTCAGATTACGTTCTGATTAGTTCGGCGGCGGTGAGGGGGCGGACTGCGGTTGGACGATGACGGTCCTGATGCTCCCAGCTGGTCGGTCGTGGCTCCCGTGCAATTGTCGGTGGAATTTCGTTGGGAGGCGTGCTACCGCAGAGTCGTGATCGGTCGTCAGCACCCACCGAGTCATCAGTGGTGTGTCTGTGTGGGTGGTTAACGAGAGGCTACGTCGGCGCGGTGAACCACTGAGCCTCAAAATATATGCGCTATATACCGGGCATATAGCATAACCCAAATGGGTTGTATGGCCGACCGCCGAATGGTCCACGGACCACCGGACCATTGAACTCACTGCACTGCACATCCAAATGATACGAGCGTTATACTGGCCTTCAAGAAGTCTACTCACCAGGATGCCTATATTCCGGTCTCCACCTTCTTAGTGAATTTCAACCCATCAAACCACGGGTGGGGAAGGGACTCACTACCACTTTCACACACAGCGCGGTGGGCTCACCGGGCGTGTGGTCGGTGATCGTTGACGGACAGCTGGCGGTGACAGCTGACACCTGATAATGACGGACTGACAACTGATAATGACCGGCTGATGACCGCGGCCCCACCGAACGGCCGGATTCTGACCGACGCGCTGCCGACAGACTGACCGACCGACCACTGACCGACGAAAGGGTAGACAGACAGACCAACGAGCTGGCGGGCCGGCCGATCGACCAGCGGACGGAAGGACAGACGGACAGGCGGACAGACGGACAGACGGACAGACGGACAGACGGACAGACGGACAGACGGACAGACGGACAGACGGACAGATTGGTGAGCCGGTGAGCCGATGAACAGACTGATTCACGTACCAACAGACGGACGGAGTCGCTGCTAATGAATTCCGTTGTTGCCACGATTGCATCCTTCAGTATATCTGCTGGCGGTGAATCGGAACATTCTTTTTTGTTATGGTTGAAATAAATATTTGTTCTGAACTGCTGTAAAGCTCAGTGCGATGCAATTGGATTAAAATGTTTGACTAGTGACATTGTCATGGATTTTTGATGGGCAAGTTCTTGGGATGGGAACCCGCTTTCTTGCCGTTTCCAGTTGTTCCAGCTCTGAATCAACTGCCGGTGCAGCATTTCCAGTTCCACTGTCCAGATCCCAAGGATGCGTTGGCGTTTGTTCATTGTTGATGATAACATGTCTTTGGCTTGTGATGATCTAGTGCTCCGTGGGCTGGGATCATGTAGAACAGCTCACGACAGTCGGTTCGTCTCCTTCCAACAGTCCGAAGATGATTCATTGCTAGCTATTTCCCACTGAAGACCCAGCGCGAGGATTACTGAAATTCGTGATTATGGAATAGAGATGAGCATGAGAACGCGGCGCGCTAATCTTGGTGCATCAAATGATTCAATAATCCGCGATTCTCTGTGAATAACTTACTTCACAAGCTAATTACCACTAGGCATAGGTATCAAATGGGAGACAAGTCTTTTTGTCTGTGCTATTGGTATGGATGCTGATCAATAAAAAATCGAAGATCGCCACCCTGGTAGCTATCCTGCCATCAGATATCTATCGGCTCCCCAAACCCCTCCGGTCCCCCGCCAGGACTGACTGGACCGCCCGTGGGTTAACTGACTCAGCATCCCACGCCGCCTCCCCCGTCCTACAGCACCTGAGCCTTCTAAAGGAAGGTCATTACGAATCTGTGGTCTGCCATGTGTCAATCACGGGCAGCCATAAAACACTACAGATGAGGCGACACCACCCGACAATCCCTGCTGATCTCCACCCCACCGTAATCCTTATCCCGGGAAACGCGGCACTCGTCGATGAAGAGAGCGCCCGGTGTCGATGTGTCGGCGGTAAATCTCCGAGAGCGGCGGGGGAGATGTCGGGACGTCAGTCTGCTGTCGCTGCTTCAGCTGCACCTGCGCTCCACCTGAGACGAGGTCTCGGGATAGACCGGTGCAACGGTGCACGCTGTGCACTGTGCAGACAGTGCAGTGGCGGGACCGGTCCTGTTCCAAAGGGGACGTGGATTGTCTGTGGTGAATGTTCGTCAGGGTGTCTAATGCTGAACGAATGACATTTCAGTCGAAGCTCATTCCTATATGATGCGGACCGTAACGCTCGTCACAAAGGGATGACCAGCTGTAGGTAACCAGCTTACATAAGGGCGGTTAGCAGTGGTTATTAACCATCCAACCTGGAAGGCAAGTGATATTAGATTACCCTAGGTCAAGCATATTGCGCGGTTATTTATTTAGGCAAACTGTGGTCAGCATATGTATACCGAGTCTGGCAAATACCTTGTTCGAGCAGAGTCACGTAGTTTGATACAACCTCCCTCGCCATCCATTTTTATCAGTAGCTCGGTGTTTTGTCTCTGGCCGGGCAGCAGTGCCGCTCGGGCCGGCCGTGACGGCGACCGTGACGGTGTCCGTGACGTGGTGTCCGGCCGCTGCCATTGGTTGTCACGCCGTTACGCTGCGGGCGGCGCCACACCGGCGGGGTCGCCGCCCTCGCCGCCCCGCCCCCGCCCCACAGAGCGCCTCCATTTTCTGCGGGTCTCGGTCACACCATTCAGGCTCAAGTTGTGAGCATTACATGCCCACTGCGGCGCCGCTGCCTCCATGTTGTTCACAGGCTTGGTAATCGGACACGACATGCGGGACACAGCCCGGGAGCGTGTTGGATTTATGAATGACGGACGTTTCAGGGACTATGGAGGTGGTTGTTGGGAGGAAAACTGAGAAGGGTCGAAGCCACAGTTCAAGTGGCTGTCGGGCAGCAGAAAGCAGGTTTTGAATCCATCCGTCCGAAAAAAAAACAGTGAAATCAGGGACACTGATCAGTGCACTTTTATACCCAGACCGAACACAGGACAGATATGCGTTGTCTACCGTTTATTTTAGGCACGAATTTGTATCATAGCGTTCGTGGTAATTTTGTTATTGATTAGGCCATGAAATCTTGCATTTGATTTATTTATTATTACGTACCTACAGTTTCCATTTAACTCGTGCCATTGACATGTAGGACTAAGAGGTCTGGTTGTATTGCCCTGGGCATACATTTCGAGACTGTAAAGGCGCATTATTTATCAACCGAGATCAATAAAAAGCAAAGCGATCCACCGTGATTCCTTACGAGTATATTGGAATTTTAGGCATCGATAAATTCATCCAGCTTCACCCACCCAGTCCTCATCACTGGTAAAGCTCGTTCGCTGAAACTGTCTAGCCGTTTGACCTTCGCGGTCTGATACTTAGCTTGTGGACGCCTGCCCCCTGACCACACTACACTTGATCATTCGCGTTTGTTGTGATGATGAAACTGATCCGTAAGTCGGTCCCATGCACGCGAATACCGCAGCTGTGGTAAGCTGACGTAAATCGGGAAAAAGTCCAGGATTTGGCGCGGCTCAGACGTGCGCTGCTGCCGGCTTAGACTGTGTGCCGTTCTGGTGATTGCTGACCTCATGGACAGTAACACCCGATTGTGCCGCGCTCGACTGAGGATCGCTCAGCCGCTGAGGGTGTTCTGAGACAGCTGCTGCTCGCTAGGAGGTTCACACCGGTGTTTGAGCATGATGCAACAGCATACACCTCCTTACAAGTGGTAAGGTCATGTTCAACTCATGTCTGACGCTGTTGGACACACAAAATAGACGTACACTAACACGATACTTGTAATACAGCACAGGGAGATCGTCTTCTGACCATCTTCCAGTGGCCATATGACCCATTGATAGACAGCAAAGTGCGAAGATCATCGGGCCATCATTGAACCTATCGGTCTAGCTACCGATTTGTTCAGACATCCTGACCTGACCTGACCCGACCTCCGCCCGCAGGTGAGCGGCCGTATAAGTGCCACTATCCGGAGTGCGGTCGGGCTTTCATCCAGCTGTCGAACCTGCAACAGCACCTGCGGAACCACGACTCGCAGATCGAGCGCATGAAGAACCGGCCGTTCCACTGCCAGATCTGCGGCAAAGGCTTCGCCACCGAGAGCAGCCTGCGCACGCACACCACAAAGGTCAGTCAAAGGTCACAACATCACAACACAAAGGGCTGTGGCAGGTCACAATACGTCATCACAAAGGTCAGGACTCAGGTCACAGTAACACGCCACAAAGGTCAGTAACAGGTCACAACACTATACCACAAAGGTCAGTGACAGGTCACAGTACCACACCACAAAGGTCAGTGACAGGTCACAAGTCTTCAAAAACAGGCTCCCTACACCACGGAAGTCAGTCACAGGTCACATCGACATGCTCTACAAAGTTTAGTCATTGTGACAATGGCACTTGGTGACAAGTAAAAAAAAAACGTTTTTCAAATCAAAACTTTGGCGCCTTTACCACGCATTAGCTGATTTTTCATTTTTATTTGCTACGATGAACGAATAAATCTCTCATCAAATTTTATTATTTTTGTTAAGGTAGACTATTCCAGTCCGATAAGCTCATATCAGCACCACCTGTGATGGCATGGTGAGTAGAGATGACGCGCCGTGGGCCGTGGCGGCTGAGCCTCTAATCAGCCACGTACACGGTCATCCCAAGTCGTGCGTTGTTTTGAGGGACCGGCCACCGGGAGACCTTAGCGGTTACCAGCGAGGGTGATTACTGATTGTTTTTGCCCGAGATGATTTTGTCTGATGTAACAAAAAACTGATATCGGACAAGCATTTGAACACTGAATGCCATCGCAGACCAGCCGGCACCCCCGGCTGCCGAGCCGACGACTATCGTGTTCCGCGGCGGCACACTCCGCCGTCTTTTACTCGTGCACTGCAGCGTGTGGACGAACCGTCTATTTAGTTACCCGACCAGCCACCAGGCAGCTCTGCTGGTTGGGACGGCGCCGAGGGAGGGCGGTCGGCACGGTCCAATGCGAGCCACGGGCCCCCACCACCGTGCTTCGGACTGGGGAGGGGGAGTTGGTTGGTCAGGAGGGCCTCCGGTACATTCTACATGTCGTCACTGCTGAATAGGACTGAGAGATACCTGGGCTACCTGCTCCTAGACCCTACCGTTGAAACTCGATCCCTTGCACTAATAATTGACGTAAACTAGGGTGGATGGTGCCCAGTAGGCAGTAACACCCTATCTCTTCCTGAAGCCGCGATTCAGACACTCTCCGGGACAAACTCTTAATTCCTCTGGGGGCCTATCGATGGTCATTTGTATACGGTAACCACATATGACAGAGGTCCCTCGAGCCACCCATGGCTCCTGGCGCCATGACCTTCTTTAGCCGACACCGAGTACGGCAAAAACAGCACTAGTCCTTTAGCACACAGATCACAGCACGCACTACCGTCCAGCTCTGGGGACTGGATTTCCGCGCCCAGCCCTATCTCGTCTTTCCCCAGAGTTGTGACCTATCCTTCTCTTCAGCATTTCCTCAATCTCATCTTGAACTGGCAACATGAAGCGGTTTAACTAAGCTCAGAAGTTGTTTCGGCTGCTTTGTTTATCCGCACATCTGTGTAGTAGGTATATTGTGCTAAGCACTTGTTTGTCCACAAAACGAACATGATTACATAATGTCGTTAACATGCATTTTGCAAGTAATAGGCAACGTTATATTCCAACGATTCAATTGTGATAATATCAAGCGTGCATTTTTTGTCTGCTTCGATGTTATCTGACTGTCTTAGATCCGCCTAGAAAACGAGACATGTCTAAAAATGCATTCCAAAAGAGGTATAATGATATCATTAGCGTTTGCAGAACTTAGCTGTTGATATCGGGCGGAGCAGCCCCTCACAGGGCGGTGCACCTGCGCCAATGTGCTCACCTGTTCTCCTCGCTTTGGAGAGGAGTAGGCTGATCTTTTTTAGGACTTGGATGCGAGTAGTTATGTGAGGACTATTTTGTTGTCGCCCACCCACCAGTTGATTTGTCGAGCGTATTTAGCGCAAGCTGGGAGATATCCATGATCCTGTGTAAAAAAGGCAAGTTTTCTCACGAGCCGGAAACAAAAACCCGAGAGGAGCGGTCCGAGCCGCCTCCTCTGGATTCTGGAAGACGACGCCTGTTCTTTAGCTAATGTTTTTCTACCTCTGCGTTGTTTGCTCGTGAGGTTTTTATTGGAAACCGCTCCTTTTCTCCGCTTATGCCATTAGTAACCGGAGAGTTTCTCAAAGCAGCCGGTGGCGTCACGGTGTGTTTCCCTGTGAGAGCGAGATGTGAATGGGGTGGGCGGGGGTTGTCCACGAACGTCGACTCTGGTGGTGCGGTGTTCTAGTGAAACGTGAGGGCTGCCGACAGTCAGAGCGCAACATGCATGACATGGATATTATAAACGGCTGGACCTTAGACGATTTTTCGGAAACTTAATTTTTATTACTTGAGCAGGAACCACGGAAGTATATAGGTATTATAGGTATTTTAAACTTCTTGCACTATTGCATAATACAAAAACCGTTACCTGATCCGTCCTTTTGCCCTACGCCTCACGGTTCACGGTTGGAGTAAAAAGTTGGCGACATTGTCATGTGCCACCCAACAGCACCTGCTGCTTGTTCACATGAATACATCTGGTGTCAGTGTCGTTCTCCGACCCGCGGGCCCTCTGGTTTGATTCGTTGTATGAATGGATGTTCTCATAGGCGGACCGTATCAGGCCATCAACTCGCCATGCATACAGCGCAGGATGCCTTCGTACGATGGAACCCAGATAGAGTTCCAGTTATTTAAAAACGCACTTTCACCAGCATTGTTGCAGCGGCAATGCTGGTGAACCCGTTCTGACTTCGGACCGGGGACCTCTGCCTGCAGCATGCTGCGCTGATCGGCGGGCCAAACGCCGTCAACTGTCCAATCTGCCACAAAATGTATCTGGGCGGTGCGGCGCTGATGGAGCACATGAAGCACGTGCACAAGGACCCCAACGCCTCGGGCGTGGCAGGTGAGAATTGATCCGTCCCCGCAGCGATTCGCTCTGTCTCTTCGCGGCTAGTGACACCGTGCAAAGTCCTGGTGTGTACAGCTTTCCAAATATTAATTCGCATCTCTGGCCCTCACTTCATTGGAGCCAGTGCGGTTCTCCATGCCTTCGTTTTCTGCATCACTGCTGCTCCCGTCGACCCTTTTCTGTTCGAACTTACATATCGACCATTTTCTAGGAGCAGTCACGAGCTGACAAACTTGTACCTATTTGCCGTTGTTTTTCCATCAATTACTTTTGGGTTCTTCTTTTTGACCCGCCTTCGTCAAAATATAACTATCTAATACCGAATGAAATTGGCATTTGGAATTAATTGACCTTTATCTCATGAAAATATTCGGTAGGAATGCCAGACACCTGGACATTCAGACCATAAGGATAAAAACGATGGTTCTTTACCGATCATGAGTGCTATCTTTAGTGCCGTCATTGCTTACCTTTCGTCAGTTCGTGAAAGAGGCAGTCACGACTGCTATGTTATCTTCAAATCATCCAGGCAGTTCTCCCGCGACCCGATAATTTCTGCCTATGCTTGCATCCTTGGCCACATCAACATCATGGCCACAGCAGCTGCAATGGCTGGCGAAGTCGTGCCACTAGGAATTTAGTCGTTAAACAGATAACGCTGAAGCCATCATCAATCAATCAATCACATGTATTTGAACATCCAGACGCATGTATGAATTAGTACAAAAGCACTTGCGTGCTTAAGTCGAGGTACATCATTCACACTGGTCCATGATAACTGACAACAAACACCCCACATCACACATCACTTTTCCGTGGCTTTCCTACCGTTAACAAATCATATTTCTTTACAGTATCTCATATTTAAGACTCAAAGCGCTTGCAGAATGCGCAGCAGTGAATCGAAATAATGCTTGAACTGAAGTAAGGAATCTCTGTTTTCGAACGTCCTGATCTGCATTTAATTATCGAAGCATTTTTTTGTAAATATTGCAGTCGTCTACATATCTTCGTGACTTGTCTCAATAAAGCAAACTGACCCGGACTCTATCGTCGCAGCCAAGCGTCGGACGCCGAACCACCCGTGTCCGGTGTGCGGCAAGCAGTACGTCAACGAGGGCTCCCTGCGGAAGCACATGGCCACCCACCCGGAGGCTGCCGGGCTAGCGGCGCCGCTGAGGATGTGGCCCTGCTCCGTCTGCCAGGCCGTCTTCACGCACGAGTCCGGTAAGAACGGGGCGGTAACGTAACGTGACGTGACGCGACGTGGCGGTGACGTGCTAGTTCCAGCAAATTGCCAACACAGGGGTGACCGGTGGCGGTTCTGAGTCGTTGTTGGCTCATGACGAGCTTCGTTCTAATAATTGGTGATACTGTATGCAAGAGCTTAGAACATGCTTTGGATAGTTTTCGCATAGCTTGCTGGGAGATCCTGCCCTAGAATCCTGGAAGTAGTGGAATGGAATGTAGTCATCTCATTTATTTTAATAATAAATACGATTTGCGAGAACGTTCAAGCGTTGTCGCCGGTAACACCTTGAACAAGATAAATGATTCTGCATTTTACAAGAACGACCTTAGCTATTTCCGCCCAAACCGCGGCCTGTTCCCAGGATATGAATTATTAATACAACTGAGGAATTCGCCTGTGGAAATTCGGTACTGCGGATGTAGTCATTGGGGCCTCTAGATACATGTATTGAATGAAGTTGATGAGGAAGTTTTGCTCTAAAAAGCATGAGGTGGAGGTATGACTCATGATACATCCAACCAAACGTTCATGATTGAAATCAAGGTCGTATGTATATGTTACAGGGAGTTTGAGAAATCCGTGAGTTTGCAAACTCCCTAGTGCGTTTGCAAACTCCCTGACCCATCAGTGAGTTTGCAAACTCACTAGGGAGTTTGCAAACTCACGGATTTCTCAAACTCCCTGTAACATATATGTCGTGCGAATAGCATCGTTTCGAAAGTGCTGAGTACCTACACACAGATGCATTATTTTAGGCTCGTTTTCCGACAACCACAGTCGTGTCGCATACCTCTCCAAACACTGATTCTCATAGTGAGTGCATTGGTTCTCCCTCCCTCACGAGTCACGATCCCGTTTCTGTTGCAGCGTTCCTGACGCACATGGACCACATGCGGATGGAGCCCAAGCACCAGTTCGCCGCTCAGTACGTCCTCTCTCGGGCTGCCGCCGAGCGGCGAGAGCGCGAAACTCTGTTTGCCGCCGCCGCCGCCGCTGCGGCCACCTCCTCCATGGGCATGAGCGGGCACCACATGTTCCCGGCCATGTCCATGGCCAGCATGAACCCGATGAGCTCGTCTCTGATGGCAGCCGTCTCGGCAGCCTCGCCCTCTGCCCACTCGGACTCGTCCCGTATCTCCACGCCAGCTGAGCCCAAGCTGGAGCCGCGGCTGGCCGGTGGGGGCTCCGAGATAGACAGGTCGGACTCGATGGCCGTCAGCTCGCGACTGGCAATGCTCAACCGGCTGACGGCGCAGCATCCGGTGGCCATGACCGGGTCATTGACACTGCAGCCGTCTGCTCTTCAGCATCAGCAACATCAGCAGCAGCAGCAGGCGCAGCTGCAGCAGCACCAGCTACAGACGCAGCTCCATCAGCAGCAGCAACAGCAGCAACAGCAGCAACAACAGCAGCACCAACAACAGCAGCACCAACAACAGCAACAGCAGCAGCAACAGCACCAACAGCAGCAACAACACCAACAACAGCAACAACAGCAGCAGCAACAGCAACAGCAGCACCTCACTCAGCCCGACCAGCCTCAACAACAGCGGCCCGGCGACAGTATGCGCGCCATGATTCAGCAGACCCAGGCCGAGCTGGTTAGGTCGACGCTGAACTCTCAGGCGGAGGGCGCCCGCTCTCTGGATGTGCTCCGCTCGCTGCACGCGCCGGCGGGTGACGCAATGGACGGCGCCATGCGACACCCGGAGCTGCGCATGTTTCCGTCAGAGCTGACCATCCGCTCGCCGCACGAGCTATACGGCCAGCCGGCGGCGCCGACGGCGGCGGAGGATCCGTTCCGGATGTCGGAGTCCCTGCGGCCGCCGCACGACCCGCGAGCAGGTCTGGGTGGCTACCTGACCTCCCCACAACAGAACTGAGACAGAGCTGGGCTCCCGTCGAAGTAGTATTGTTCTCAATGCTTCTTTGTCACGCATCCAAAGTCCAGCATCCCAGCAATAAGATCGATATTGTTGCCGCGCTGGCTTCACATCAGGCGTCCGTGGCGACTTAGTTAGAAGAGCTCGCAGCTGATATTGCTGAGTCCATGGTGAACGTCTTGGAGCAGACGTCAGTTAAACGTTCAGTAGCGTCACTCTGATGAACCCAACCAAGGCCAACCACTCGCACTGCCGGACGAAAGGCTCCGGCGATAAACTAAGCTCGAGTTGTCGGCCCTAGGTCGCATGCGAGACCTGGCTCACCGACTCAGTCGACTCCAGCATGCTCCTGTTTCCCGGGTACACCATCAGGCGCCGCGACAGAGAGGGCAGGACGGGGGGCGGAGTGGCACTGATCTGTCGCAACACGCTCAAGCTGGACGTGATGCGTGTGCCATCTGCCGGCTCCACACTCGAGGCGGCGTGGGTACAGATCACCGATCGATCTACCATAATCGTCGGTACCGTCTACCGTCCCCCATCCGGCCCGTACGCTCCAGCTGTCGATGATCTCCAGCAGCAGCTGACGCACGTGCTGGCACAAGGTCGACCGACATACGTCCTGGGGGACATCAACTTCGACCTATCCCGTCCCGACAAGCCGGGTGTTACAACATACCTTCAGCAGCTTGCCGAACTCTCTCTGCATCAGCTGATAACCGAGCCGACCCACCCCGGAGAGTCGCCGTCTATTCTCGACCACCTTATAACGAACAGACCGGACCTGACCTCCAATGCCCGGGTCATACCTTGTAACATTAGCGACCACGACCTTATCACTGCTTCGATCACCAACACCAAGACACGACATGTGCCGGTCACATGCACCGTGCGGTCCACGCGCCGTGTCGACACTGCTGCCCTCTGCCTCGACCTGCTTCTGGCGGACTGGGCGGAGGTCGACCGTGCCGACTCCATAACCGACAAATGGAACGGCTTTCTACGCGTGTGGGACCCGGTGATTAACCAGCACATGCCGATGAGGACCGTCAAAATGAAGCATCGACACCGCCCCTGGATGGATGATGATGCTGTGACAGACGCGATGGCGGCTCGAGACCAGGCGCGGATCGACAGAGACACCATCCCGTGCGATGACACTGACCGAGAGTTTCGGCAATGCCGTAACGCCGTCAAAGTGGCCATTAATCGAGCCTGCGCCTCCCACTATGCCTCTCTGTACAGAAACTCGCGACCCAAAACGTGGAAGAGCATCAGACAGTTTTTGATTGCATCAAAGAAGGCCGAACCGAGGACTACCGACCTGAATGCTGCGGACAACGGGTGGCCAGATCGACTGAACCGATTCTTCGCGTCAGTCGGCCCTGACGTGGCTGACGCCCTGGCCTCGGAGGACACCGGGGACAGACTGACACCCCGTCCGCCACGTGTGTGCTCGGGTGCATTCAGACCGCGGGCCGCCACTCTCCCCGAGCTTTCTGCGGCGCTCCAGCGGTTGGGATCCTCGCGGGCGTGCGGATCAGACGGCATCACTGTGCACATGTTGCGTGAAACGTTCCCAGTGATTGGCCCCAAGCTTCTGGCGCTAGTCAACAGTTCTATTGTTAGTTGTGACGTACCTGTGTCATGGAAGGCCGCCACTGTGACTGCGCTTCACAAGAAGGGTGACATTAGCGACCCAAACAATTACAGACCCATATCAGTGTTGCCTGTTGTCGCCAAGCTGTGTGAAAGAGTTGTTTGCTCCCAGCTAGTGACGTATTTAAGCGAGCACCACATCCTGTGTCCCCAGCAGTACGGGTTCCGGCCGGGTTTGTCCACGGAGGCGGCTCTGCTCGATGCTGTTACGTACGCGGTGACGAACATCGATAGCGGCCGCGTGACGTCACTTGTCACCGCTGATACGTCGAAGGCCTTTGACAGCGTTGAGCATGGCCGTCTCCTGGACAAACTCGGTTGGTACGGGATTGACTCCGGATGGTTCTCGGCCTGGCTGAGAGGACGCACACAGTGTGTGAGAGGTGGGTCAATTGCTATGAACGTGTCTCATGGAGTGATCCAGGGTTCGATTTTGGGGCCGATTTTGTTTTTGATTTTCACCAATGATTTACCTCAGCACATTCCACATGGTAAATTAGTCATGTACGCTGACGACACCCAGTTCCTTGACACTGACTCTTATGCAAACTTGCAAAACTTGAAGGACCGCATCGAAACTTCTCTCTCAGTTGGACTGAGATGGTTCACCCAAAATCGTCTGAAAATTAACCCAGCTAAAACTGAACTGATAATAATTAAATCTAGACGTCAAAATCTTGATTCAACATTCTCGATTCATTTTGGAAACGATGAGCTTAAACCAAACCGCAGTGTCAGGGTTCTGGGGGTCGTCATCGATTCTCACCTGATTTGGGATGAACACATCACGGGTGTTGTTCGTAAGTGCTTTTGCGTGCTGGTGTGCCTGGCCAGGATCCGGCATAAGCTACCGAGATGCACAAGACAGCTGATGATCGAAGCTCTAGTATTTCCCCACATACGTTACTGTTTAAGTGTGTGGGGAAGCTGTACGGTCACACAGAAGCGTCGCATCCAGAAAGCTATTAACTTTGGTGCGCGTATTGTTAGCGGTCTTAGACGGCGCGATCACGTGACTGCGGCGCTACGGGAACTGGGGTGGCCCACCGTAGACGAGTTGATCGCCGAGCGTGACCTCGCAAACGTCACTCGCATCATCGACTCATCTATCACTCCCGAACTTCTGCGCCAACAGTTCGCACTGCGAGCCGATGTGTCATCCCGCAGCACCCGCGCCGTGTCCGACGGCCGGCTGCAGCTGCCCCGGGTCCGTACCGAGTTTGCCCGCCGAAGTTTTCTTTATCGTGCGGCGAGTGCGTGGAATAGCCACAGGTAGTCAGCTGTCACTTGTCATGTAGGTATAGGCACGGTTCTCACATGCGTTTTATATTCACTGTTTTATGCCAGTGTGTCATTTTTTATGTAGCACCTGTCTTGCCTAAGCGTTTTTACAATGTCTGTTTATTTGTCATTGACGTAGACACCATAAAAACCATGTCAATGGAGGGTCTTAATAAACTATCTATCTATCTATCTATGCGATAAAAACTCACGCAATAGCTACCGCCTTCACATGTTCATTACAATAATCACGGAACATAGTTTGACCAGTGATTTATTTCGTGCATTATGTGTTGTGTATGTACCTACGTGTGCAGCAATTTTTTGTACTTTTAATTTATTGCCAGGTGAGGACATTGCATGCATTTTTGTCAGGCGATATAGCTGAAGTGGCAGGGATAATTTGATTACTGTGCCGCTCATTCACATGTAGGTAGGCACTTAGAAGCACCAATATATTGTAGGCATACATTGTCGTGAAGAGCGGACTGTGATTTTGTTCTGAGACGGATGGCTGCAAAGGAGCTGCATAAGGGTGCAGTTAAGTGGAAGTAAGGTGATAAGCTACTGGATATTCGTCCACAGACATGCGAACTGCAAAGCTCGCATACGCTTTTCAAGGTTGTGTCTCCTCCAATGAGAGATCAACGGTCGCGTGATGTGGTCATATAATGAATCGATGACTGTTGCGGCTTTGTGATGCGTTATATCATCAGATTGCTCAGAGGGCTTAGTGTGAACCGTTTGACGGGCATGAGTGGACTTGGTATCAGGTATGGAATATGGATAAACTTCAGCTGACGTGAAACGTTTACGACATCCGGTTCTGTCAGCTGAGAGCAGCCCGGAACCAGGCCAGCTGGTTGGTTATTCTCTTCTCAGACGTTGAAACTGGTCCGAACTCCATCTATATCTAATTTTACTTTAAAAAATAGGTATCAGGAAGTCTGGCATATGCGGGGAATGCTTTGTTCCATCCGCTTTACACTAACCAATCATCAACATTTCAAACCAATAAGTTATGGCGAATGAGAGGGGCATAGTGTTGGTTAGCCATACCCCTATGAATTGTATTCCAGTTGGGTTTACGTGTGGGCATTAACAGCCTATCGATCCATTGCTATTGGTTACGATTCAAATCCCAAGATTCCCGTCAGATTAGAAGTACGGCGCACCGTCTGCTTGAGTTTCGATCAAATGCATTCGACGATCACTTATTTATGAACGTGCGTGATTGAACGATGCGGATGCCTATTTTTTGTCTGTCGCTTTCATCTGCCCATCTTCTATCACGATTGTGATGCTTGAGAGGGATAAGAGATGAGATGAGGGATGAGAGATAAGCTTTGTATTTGCGATAGACTGGTCCCAAACCGAAGCGCCTTAGATTGTGTTGTGTATAGATGCGTCGCTTATGAGTCCGAAAATACACTCCATTGTAGATTGATGATCGGTTTTGCAAGAAGTGAAATGATAGATTTTGAATTTTTGAAATTGTTTAAAAGTCTTCGATGGGGCACGCATAGGTTTTAAACCTATGTGTGCCCCATCGAAGACTTTTCAATACAAGTCGGAGTACCGGGACCAATAATAACTTTTACCCACTACCCAGTGAAAGTCCGTTAAACAATTTCAAATAAGCATTTACCTGGGTATTAACTATTAAGACATGACTCTTCAGTCTCACTTATAGATTTTGAAGTTTGAAGTAACAGACTCTGTCTTACCGGTCTTGGTCCTCGATCATCGGAGACATGTTTACTGATGGGCTTTATTGGTTCGTGATACATATCAGTGCTGCACGACGCCATCGCCTCTAGCTTGAGCTTGCATGATCTTCCAAAGACATCAATGCGGGTCGGCAGCTGGGCTGAAGTCAGGTCACAGGGTTTTGCGACCACTTGCCGGTGCGGCTCGCCGAACATTAGGTGCATCCCCTGCATGACACTAAACGAAATAAGCCTGTCATAAAAGATTCCTTGTGTAATCGTTGCTTACATTGCTGGGGCATTACCGTTTCACCCAGGCCAGATTGTTTGCTTTGGGCTAGAAAAGGCCTT